CATGGGACTTGTCAACCAGCGCCAGGGCGGGCACAATGTGCAACGTGTTGTCAAAACCTGGAAGGGATCACAATAGATTTGGTCAGTGGAGGCGTACCATTTGATCGTTGAATGAAAGCCGAGAAGGCAACCAAAAAATCAATAACCACACACGCACACATGGGGGCAGAGTAATTTTAGCACTTGCCACCCATCAAAAAGTGGGTGGTGGTACTCATACTCATCCGCACACTCGTGCTCATACTCACATAGCACCAGGAGCCAAGTGCCCGCCGGATCGAAGCAGACGTCGTGGATCACGCGGTTGCGGAACCAGGATATCATCTTGACCACCTCCTGGCCGGAGGAGGCGCTGATGTAGCGCAAAAGGATCTCGTTTTCATCGGTGACCAGGCACAGGAACTGCTTTTCATCCAGGCCAGCGGTAACCGCGGACAGCTTGCAGCTGATGTTGGTGATCAGCGGGCGCAGCTCGAACATGCCCAGCTCCTTGAGCTCCGCCTGCCCCGACATCTCGAGGGGATTCGTGGGAGAAGCCAATTTTAATTTACAAAATCAGTGCAAGGAGCTTTTTCCCCAAATTCCGAATGAAAACAAACTAGAGATGCGCGCGTGAGACCTGCTGCCGGTCTGGCAACGCCCTAGTCACGCAACGATTTTCCAATTGAAACGCAGTTTTCCACTGTTTCTCAGGAATAGTTACGTTTTCCCAAAAGCGCGGCCTCGCTCCGCACTTCATACAAACGGGAAAAGTTAAGAAAACTAAAAACAACCACAATAAATTGCTGCAACCGTCTGGCAACGCCACTCGTGCTGCGCACAAGTCTTAACTTTTCAGGCTGTTAAGCCAACTGCCACCGACTTTTCCGCAAAAAGCCCGGTTCGTAAGGAGCAGGCACTATTTCTCACACCCTTTTGGGTGGTGTTCACTCGCGGAAAACCTGCGGAAAACGCGAATCAAGGGGGAATGTCGTGCCCGATGGCCAAGACTGCAGCACTGAGAACATCTGATTGGCGAACTGGAAGGGCAGCCAGGTGGCAACTCCGGCTGGCCCAGTCCAAAACGGTCATACTTTCCCAGTGCATCCCTACAATCGAAAATAACGGCGGGAATTGGAGGCGTCGCTTGTCTGAGTATCAACAATCCGAAATTAATTGATAAACGAAATTGCAGGGCGGTGGACGTTCGGGAAATAATCTCCTAAATTTAGTGTTACAATGGAATCTCGATTGCCGAAGCCGTCGTCCCTTAAGAGACCGCAGATGCCGGTAAAAACTATACTGCCCACAGATCGAATTCGCGCAGGAGGCACTGCAGGATTGGGAGGAGCTGCTGGTGCCAGTGCCTTCAATGTCAACCAGACGTACTGCGGGAACTTGCTGCCTCCCCTGTCCAGGGACCTCAACAATCTTCCCCAGATGCTGGAGCGACGCGCAGGAGCAGGAGGTGAGTAAATCAAGCCCTTTCTATGGATTAGCCCCTAATCCTCTGCTTATCGTTCACCAGTTCGTGCCGCCTCGCCGGAACCCATGAAGATGGGCAATCGGGCCAAGCTCAGACGCAGTCGGAGCGCCTGCGACATTAACGAAATGCGCGGAATCAAACGTACAGCTGCTGCTCCTAGTTTGCCCAGCATTCCCAGCAAAGTCTCCCGCCTAGGCAGCACTTCGACTGCTCCCGGCCAGAGACCTGGGCGTCCGGCGACCTCCGCAACAGCCAGTGCTTCCACGGCTGCCAAGAGACCAGCAGTAGCACGTCCTGCTCCTCGAGCTGCGGCGCCAACAGCGACCAAAAAACCCACGGGAGGGGCATCCGCAGGAGGCTCTTCTGCAGCCCCGGCCAAGCGTATCGCACCCTACGACTTCAAGGCCCGCTTCCATGATCTTCTAGAGAAGCACAAGGCGCTGAAAAGCAAGTACGAGAAGCAAACGGAGGACATGGGAGAGCTGGAGTCCATGCCCACGCAACTGGAGGAGGCGCAGAACAAGCTCTACGAGACGGAGACCTCGCTGAAGAACACACTGACCGACAACGAGTGTCTCCAGCGGCAAGTGAAGCAGCATACGAAGAATATAGAGACCATTACTTCGTCGCTGGGCAGGACTAAAGAGGAGCTCTCCGAGCTACAGGCAATACACGAGGTGAGGCTTTAACTAAAACAAACTCTTGAAGAAATACTTTAAATAAATGGTAATTTGCAGAAAGTAAAAACAGAGCATGCTGCTTTGAGCAAAGAAGTGGTGCATCTGCGCCAGCGCACCGAAGAACTGCTGCGCAGCAATGAGCAACAGGCCGCCGAGCTGGAGACTTGCAAGGAGCAGCTCTTCCAGTCGAACATGGAGCGCAAGGAACTGCACAACACGGTGATGGATCTGCGCGGCAACATCCGGGTCTTCTGTCGAATACGACCGCCGCTGGATTCCGAGGAGAACCGCATGTGCTGCACCTGGACGTATCACGACGAGGCCACGGTTGAGCTGCAGAGTATCGATGCGCAGGCCAAGAGCAAGATGGGCCAGCAGATCTTCTCCTTCGACCAGGTCTTTCATCCGCTCTCCTCGCAGTCGGACATCTTCGAAATGGTCTCTCCGCTCATCCAATCGGCTCTAGATGGCTACAACATTTGCATCTTTGCTTACGGACAAACGGGCAGTGGCAAGACCTACACGATGGACGGAGTGCCGGATAGTGTGGGTGTTATTCCACGCACGGTTGACCTCCTCTTTGACTCCATCCGGGGCTATCGCAATCTGGGCTGGGAGTACGAGATAAAGGCCACCTTCCTGGAGATCTACAACGAGGTGCTGTACGATCTACTCAGCAACGAGCAGAAGGACATGGAGATAAGGATGGCCAAGAACAACAAGAACGATATCTACGTGTCCAACATAACAGAGGAGACTGTCCTGGATCCCAATCATCTGCGTCACCTGATGCATACGGCCAAGATGAACAGAGCCACGGCCTCAACGGCTGGCAACGAGCGCTCCTCCCGCTCCCATGCTGTTACCAAGCTGGAGCTGATAGGTCGCCATGCGGAGAAGCAGGAGATATCGGTGGGATCTATAAATCTGGTAGATTTGGCCGGATCTGAATCCCCCAAGACGAGCACCCGCATGACCGAGACAAAGAACATCAATCGCTCGCTTTCGGAACTCACCAACGTGATCCTGGCGCTGCTGCAAAAACAGGATCACATTCCGTACCGGAACTCCAAGCTGACCCACCTCTTGATGCCCTCGCTGGGCGGTAACTCAAAGACCCTTATGTTCATCAATGTTTCGCCGTTCCAGGACTGTTTCCAAGAGTCGGTGAAATCCCTGCGCTTCGCCGCTTCCGTAAACTCCTGTAAAATGACCAAGGCCAAGCGGAATCGGTACCTTAACAGTTCGGTGGCCAACAACAGCACACAGAGCAACAGCAGCGGAAGTTTCGATAGATAAATAAATAAATGAGTCTTGTTCCCAGTTCTAACAATTTCCAAATTTTCTAACCTGTTATTGCTTAATTTATGTGTTTACTTTTAGTGGATAAACAAAACTAATAAAGTGCTGGAATTCAAAGCTTGGCTCCTACTGCTGCCCGCACCTCGGCGGGAATCTTCTGCACCAGTTCGGCATGATTCTGTCCCAGGCTTGCCAGCACTCCCTGGCGATTCACGTGCTCCACATCCGCATTGTAAGCATAGTGCTCGCCGTTGATGTTGGTAAGAAAGCCGCCCTGGGCTTCTAAAACGGCTTCGGGTGCGCATGTGTCCCACTTCTTGCAACCCGGGGTGGCGAAGACGTAGGCGTGCGCCTTTCCCTCCAACAACTGGAGCACCTTGAAGCCGGCCCCTCCGACTTTCAGCACCTCAGTGGATGCAAATGCATTTAGAGCCTGCTGGTGCAGGGCATTGGAATGGGAACGAGTGGTGGTTATGATGAACTGGCCAGGTGGAGCGGGCACCGCTGTGAATCCTCCCGTGCCAAGACCTTTGAGGCCCCAAATGGTGCGACCAAGCTCGCCGTCGGGTTGCTTGAAGAAGGGCTGATGGATGATGCCGCCCACGGCTGAATCCTTGACAGCTATGCCGATCAGCACGGTCACATGCTCCACATGTCCTGCGGGAAAAGATATGGGTTTGCTATAAGATCAAGATTATTATAGGGATCTCTATATCCTACCCTGTGTGTACTCCGCTGTGCCGTCCAGGGGATCCACCCAAATGACAAAGTCCTCCGGCTTGGCATCCTTCCACTCCGCCGGGCAGTTTTGTTGCAGGAATCCCTCGTCCAGCTCGTTTACCAGCCAGTCATCGCAAACATTCAGGTCGGATCCACCTTCCTCGCCAATAATCTTCACGGTGGGAAACTTTTTGGTCAAAGAGGCAATGATGCACCGCTGGGCAGAGCGATCTGCCTCCGTCTGTGGGTCGTTCTTTCCCTTGTCCACTATTCCCAGGTCGCCTTTCTTGAGCACATCCCGGATGATTCCTCCTGCCCGCTTGGCCGTGCTTATCGAGGATGCCATAACGCGCATTATCACCGGACCAGTTGCAGCCATCGTTATCTTATTTGATTGGGGATGAATAAAGATTTGATGTGGGAGATCTATTATAAGATTTGGAATGGGATGTTTTTGCCGCTGCGGAGAAATGATTGTGGTGAAAGTTTAACAGCTGATTGCGGCTAGAGGCTAGAGAGGAGCAACAGCCGCCAATTCTTTAGTATAGGAGTAAATTTAACGATTAATACCTTAAATTATTTGTCTAATTTAATTTTTTAAGGGCTAAATAAAAATAAGCCCACCGAGGTTATCGTAACCCCGAGAAATTAACCTAATATAATTTATAATCTTACGATTAAAGTTATCATTTTTGAAAATCCCTAAGTCCAAATACTTTTTTCAGCTTTTTACATTTGTTAAAAACTTGTTGCTTTCTACAAATATTTAAATTAAATTTAGTAGTACTTTCTAGCTTTTTTATAGCTATAAATTATTTTAGCCGCGTCTGGCAACGCTGTCGGCACACAAGACCTTTGGACCACCCGCGTCCCCGCCGCCCACAAATCAGTTCATTTCCATCTTGAAAAAGGTAAGCTCTTGAAATTAATAAAAATCAAGCTATTTACTAAATATTAGCCATTAATTTATAGAAAATGGCGCGTGTTTTGGTTGGAGTTAAGCGTGTGATCGACTACGCCGTCAAGGTGAGTCCAGAAATCGCCTGTTGCACATCTTCATCCATCTTTTTTATCACTTGTTGCGCTTTGTTTTGCGTAATCGCTTTAATTAAAGGGCAATTAAAATAATTCCCGATTTATTCCCAATGACCAGGTGCGCGTCAAGCCCGACAAGACGGGCGTGGTCACCCAGGGCGTGAAGCACTCAATGAATCCCTTCGACGAGATCGCCGTTGAGGAGGCAGTGAAGCTGAAGGAGAAGAAGCTTGCCGAGGAGGTCATCGCTGTCTCCGTGGGTCCTGCCCAGTCCCAGGAGGTTATCCGCACCGCCCTGGCCATGGGCGCCGATCGTGGCATACATGTAGATATCCCAGCCGCCGAGTACGAGCTTCTGCAGCCCATCCACGTGTCCAAGATCCTGGCCAAACTGGCGCTGGACGAGAAGGCCGACCTGGTGATCCTGGGCAAACAGGCCATCGACGATGATGCCAACCAGACGGCCCAGATGACCGCCGCTGTCCTGGACTGGCCACAGGGCACCTTCTGCAACAAGATCGAGAAGACAGATGCCGGTCTGACCATCACCCGTGAGATTGACGGCGGTCTGGAGACGATCAAGACCAAGACACCCGCTGTCCTGAGTGCCGATCTCCGGCTTAACACTCCTCGCTACGCAACGCTGCCAAACATCATGAAGGCCAAGAAGAAGCCTTTGAAGAAGGTCACGGCCAAGGATCTTGGCGTGGACACCACTCCCCGCATCGAGGTCATCTCCGTGGAGGATCCTCCAGTGCGCCAGGCTGGAGCCACTGTCGCCGATGTGGATGCCTTGGTGGCCAAGCTGAAGGAGGGCGGCCACATCTAGATCCTCCTCAACTAGCAAATTGTGAGCGCAAATTCTACGTTTTTAATTAGTTGAAGTTATCTATCAGAAACGTGCATTTATCCCAGCCTCCGATCGTCGGATCTGCTGACAGGCTTTAAAATTCTACCCATCCCCCGTGTGCTTTAAGTGAAATCTAAATTGGAATTTATTTTCGTTGTGTCCAGCTGTAAGAATAAAGTGATTGTAAGCTCTGAAATCGTAAAAAACAGGGTCAGCCAATGACTTGTTTCGTCTATTTTTCTCTCCGGATGATGCCTTTTCAGGAAATCCCGATCCCGCTCAACTTGATGCCCAAAAAAAATGCGACGAGGTCAACACCCAATGGTCATTGATTTTTCATTGTTTTCGATCGTATTTATTAGCGGTAAACTTGAAAGGAAACATTTGCTAATATGTATTATATAAGAGTACAAATGGTATAAAGAGATAGTATATGTTTGTTCATAAAATTCTCAACTACAGGCTAAAATCGTTTGCTTTTTGTTTTGGACGATCATGACACACATGCTTATAATATAAAGATATTTATGTGTATAAACATTCAAAAAAAGAGAGTAAATGGTCTAAGATATAGAAAAGGGTGGGTCGACTTTCCTGATAGAGAACTAAAGGGACGAAAATATTGTATAGAATCAAATTGGAATTTTGAATTTTGAGATCAAATTAGTCAAGTAAAAATTGTAAAATTGATGGCCAAAAAAACCCTTAGATTACTTAGTTATATTAATCTACCCACCCTAATATACAGACGGGCAAATGCGACAATAATAAATGCCAATTGAAAGATACTTTGTGCTTAAATAAAAGAAACAGTGGCAGTGGAACCGATCGCAACAAGCACTTGGCCAGGGTATAAAAAGTGTTTTATAAAAATATGCTGCTAAGGCCGATAGCCGGGGTAGTTTTTATCTTAATTGCGACTTTGTTTATCACACACCTCGCCGTAGCCAGCGCCCAATCCATACCATTAGCCATCAAACCCGTCCGGCCGGCACCAACTGCTTGTCGCTGAAACGCAGAATGCGCGTCAGCATGGTGGTGATGCAGGGGATCTGCTTCTGCTGGTGCATTTCGGGCGTGTCCGGGGTGCAGGACTCAAAGTCGACGGCCACCCGCTGGCACACGAAGGTGAGCAAAGTCAGGATGTCCAGGCGCTTGCCATTGGCCGCCAGCTCGGCGCACAGGCTCTGCATAAACCAGCTACCGCGGGTGGTGTTGCGCCACGAATAGAATCCCGGAACGGTGGAGTAGGCAATCAGGAAGTCGGCGTGCACCGGAATCTTGTAGCTCATCGAGGAGTCGCCATCCGTTTCCGTCTGGCCACGCTGCATGGTCACCCCGCCGTCCAATCGATCGCCCTGGCAGGCCTGAATAAAGAACAACTTGGGTTTTCCGGCCAACGAAGGACAATGATTGGCCGTGAAGAAGCTCCAAATGTTCTCCAGTTTGTACTGCGTGTCCTTGGCGTAGATGTAGCCCATCTCGCCGTGCGACAAGATGGCAACCAGGATGCAGTCGCTGTCGCCGTGATTCTGTGAGGCAGCGTACTCAATTGTCCTCAAAATGTCCTTGTAGCGGCAGTCCTTGTACACGGTGACCTCGAAATCTAGCTGCTTGAGCACTCGCGTGAGGTTCTCACAGTCCACATTGGTTCCTGCCCGGGATTTCAGTGTGGGCACTTCGAAGTGCTCATGGTTGAAGATCAATGCCATTCCCCGATTCTTGTGCCGCATATTGTACTCGGCTGCATGGCGATCAGTAACCATTTTGGCCACATTCTTGCGGTAGCTCGACGAGGGTGAGCTGTACCCGTTGGCCAGCTGCCCGATGGCTCCGGTGCCATAAGGATGCGATGATGATCCTGTGGCCAGTCCGCTGCTGCCCGATCCAACGGATCCCAGGGCATCCGTGTGGTCGAGGGGTTTCTCGGGATTACTATCCACCCTTATTCCCACCTGATCGCCGGAGTCTCCATTGTTGCTGCTGGCGTCCATGGTGAAATTATCTCCTTGAGCCTGCGAAAACTGATGAGTCACAAGCACTTTTAAACTGGTTTTCCTTTAATTCTGGGAAAACTGATCTTCACGACTTTGGCTAATTTGTTTAGTTCTGGGAAGTCCGTGTTTACGTGCAACAAAGACAACTAGTTATTAACTAATTATTTTTAGTGGCTTTGCTTTATTCGTGAGTTTAGTATAACCGTTACAGGCAGTTGAAAAATACCAAATAGCGCCTGATTTAGGGATGAGACTCCCGAGTCGTGTCACGACATTACAAAATTGTACACAAAGAAAGTAAATAAATTAAATTAAACAATTATAAAATGTTTTACGGGTTTTTTTTTAAGAAATATGTTTTGTGGCCCTAATTAATAGTAATCAGGACCCCAAAAAACATTAGATCTCAGTTTTATAATATAGCTCATTTAAGGGGAGTACGTTCTAAGCAATAGTAAATAAATGTTGGCCGACATGTACCTAATATTAATATTTTATAAAAAGTATTCTTGTGGAATTATAATAAGCCGAAAACAAGAAAGTGTTCTTGTGAAATTTTTATAAGCCGAAAACAAGAACGCCCATTATAGAAATTCAAACTTGTAATCTTGCTTTTATTGTTAAAACAATTGGAATACCAAGCTTCTCCCAGTGTATAAGCACCCTTATTTCAAATAAAATCTTGTTTCCTTTTTCGTCCTTTGTTTGCACTCGCGTGAGACCGCAGTTACAATTTCAAAAAACGCAGTTAAATACCGATGAATACTGCAAAATACCGTCCACCTCACGGGCACACCCTTAGAACGGTTTGAGACGCACTGTTAAAAATTGTTGAATTGTTCCATTTTGTTTAAAAATTAAGAAAATTGCCAATGATCTGGACGCCAGAGCATGTGGAAATCCACCTTGATCTTCTCAAAACCTCCACCGATCGGACCGTGATTTACAAATGTCTCGTGAAGCTCCGCACCGACCTTGTGAAGGACAAAAATGGAATTGTTTTATTTCGCACTGCTGGGGGCGTTCACATCATGGTGGGTTTGGGAGTCACCATGCTCATGGTGGTTTGGCAGTCACTGCCTTGCACAACATTGGATCGTAATTCTAATCGACTTTTAAATGATATTTAATTGCGTCTTCCAGGTGCGGCTGATCACCAAGCTGAATGAAAAGATCATGGAGGTGGTTCTGAGCATACTGGGAAACTGCTGCACGGACGAACAAGCCTGCATTGAGGTGAGAAATTTGGAAAAACCAAAGAAAGGTTTTTAAAAATAACGTCTTTTCCAACATTTATTAAAAGTTATATACCGATTTAAATATTCAATGTTAAGTAAAATTAACAAAATTTGATATACAATTTATATTCCAAAAATAAATTTAAAATAAAAGTCTGTGCAATTCTTTATATCAATATATTCTTGGTGGTTGAAACAACTTAAATTTTTAAACCTTAAAATATATATTCTTGAATGTCTAAAAAATCCCCTATATCAACATGCATACTTATTCTTATTGGTTGAAAAAATTTCCCCTTCACAGGCCGTCGAATGCAAGGTGATTCCCCCACTGGTGACCATTCTGAAGACCATACCCAATCCCGTGATCCAATGCCGCGCCTGCCGGCTGCTAGGGAACCTGGCCAAAAGCAAGAAGGCCTCCCAGTATCTCAACGTGCACTATGCGGCCATTGCCCCGGCTATCTGCCACATCATCGAGTCCACCAGTGCGGTGCAGACCCGCATCATGGCCTTCCGTGTCTGCCGTTTCCTCCTGGCCAGCAGCCAGTTCCTGAAGCACTTTCTCGTGGCCAATGGATTCCTGCAGCTGATGCGCATCTTTCTGGCCGTGATGAAGAACGACGAGGCGCCCAAAGAGACCGTTCCGGACATTGAGGTGTCCACGCTGATTGGCCTAAAGAGGAATCAGCACCGCGAGAAGTATTTCGAAGAGGTGGCCAGGAACTTGGAGGGCGTACGCAGTGACATCTTCGACTACCAGATGTTGAAGAACTCCACGAGGAACTGTGACTATGCGCTGCCCAAGGAAAACGAGGCGGCCGTTGAGTTGGCCCTCGAGATATTAAAGTGTCTCGTCCTGATATCAGCCCAGCAGATTGGAATGAAAGCTTGGGAGGTGAGTCTACCACATCCGTGGAAGATCCTACCTAATATATCTATATTCCTATATTTACCAGTCCATTTCCCGCAACACTTCGCTGGCTTCGATTGTGTGCTTCGTTAAGGAAGACGGCGATCAGCGGGCATCCGCTTTGAAAATCCTTTCCAACTTCTGCAAGGATCCCTGCGCCTTCTACATGCTGAGCACGGCGGATGCCATAGTGGCTGCCTGTGAGATGCTTATGGCCGTTAACATGGCAAAGCCACTTAATGAGAGCGAGAGCCGCCACTGCATTAATATCATATTAACCCTATCCACGGATGCATGTAGTCGCTCAAAGATCCGTAGATGTGGAGCTCTGCGCAAGCTGGTGGCCATGATTCGGGACTCCAATTCCCAGAGCGAACGTTCTTCGGTGGGTTTCGTTGGTTTAATTGTTTAAAACCATATTAATATAGTAATCTCTTTTACCCAACAGCTTTTGCACATTCTTAACAACTTTCAATATGACAACTTGAGCATGGAACTCTTGCTTTACGAAGGACTTGTGCCCATGCTGGTGAGGGAATTAAACGATTACCTGACCAGCGATGATGACCATCACAAGCGTCGACGGGAGGAGAGATTGCAAGGTGGCAAAAAGCGGAAACTGACGGATCCCACAACGCCAGAGACGCTAAGCAAGGTACTTTATTAGAATTCTACATTACTTATAATGACTACTAATTTATTTTATTTTTTATAAAAAGTTCTCAAGAACCCACGAGGCCTTAGGCTCGGACTTTGACTCGCCGAGCAGTTCACCGAGGTCTTATCGCACAACCAGTCCCTGCAGTTCGCGCAGCATGTCGCCGGTGTGCAAAGATCTGCTGACGAATGATGACGACGACAACTATTCACCGGCCTGCAGTGATGATGATGAAGATGAGGATGACAGCACAAATACTGCGGATACTAGGGAACGGCGCATAGCCGCCAATCGCGCCCAGACTTCTAATGTCTTAGACATATTGAAACTAATCGATGAAGGCAGCGAACCCATAGATGATCCGCTGTCCGACAAAGAAGATCTCGAGGAACTCAGCTCGGATGTGCCGCCCAAACTAGCCCAGTTCCGAAATCAAGCTGGCGACACCATCGACATTATCGAGAACCTTATCTATCGCATCACGCTGATGGTGAACAAGCGGGTGGAGCTGGGAAAGCCGGAAACGCTGGATACTCTCATAAGGGCACTTAACCTATTCGGGGCTAACAATAATTTCGCAAGTGCTCTGACAAATATATTACTGTGAGTTGAAATTGTTAGCTGATATATGTTATATATTTAATTAAAATACTATGCCATTTCAGGGAGAGCCAGTTCTTTGCCCAGATTATAAAGCATGGGGTGGTCCATCAACTTTATCAGCTTACCAAGGTGGAGGAGGTAATTTTTCAGCTTTCTGAACAATATCTACTGCATTATTAATATACCCTCTCCTCTTTTTAGATGCGAAAAGATGGCTTCGCCTTTTTGGAGACCCTCACCAACGTTGGGGAATCTAATTATGGCAAGGAGGAGCTGGTGCGTCTCCTGCGCTGCGATGATGTGAAGGCGCAGCAGAGAGCCGCCATTGCGGTGGCCTACATTATCAAGAGTCATCGATTGCTCTACCAGTTCCTCTTTGACGGCAGTGCGCTGAACCTGCTCTTCGATCTGATGCTGCGCAAAAAGACCGACGATCACTATGCAGATGAGGCGGTGGATGCAGTGACTTCGATGGCTCGGTATACGCTGGGCATTGTGTTACCGGAGGCCGAGCCCGCGGAGAGCACAGCAGGGATTTGCAGCCAGAAGCTAAGTGAGTCCGCTCCACTGCACGATAACTGCGACATGCGATTCCTGGTTGGTGGAGGCGGGGATTCCACCGTGACCATTGGCTTTAACAAGCAGCTGCTTTGTGAGACCAGCGAGGTGTTCAACAAGATGCTCAACAGTGACTTCCGCGAGGGTCACCACGGCGAGATTCAGCTGCAGGATTACACAGCCAGCGGATTGCGCTACTTTCTGCATTTAATCGTGTGCCAGGAACGGCACCTTACGGAACCGGATTACCCTGCCCTCCTGCAGGCCTTCGAGATGTCCCGGGTATACATCATGCCCGAGATGGAGGAGATACTGCAGCAACGACTCATCCAGTTCCTGGACTCCCACAACTGCCAGCGCCTGCTGGAATGGGCGCTGAAGAACTACCACGCCGAGCTGACGGAGACGGCCATCAGCTTCTATCTCTGTTCCTCGCTGCCGGCGCAGGAGAAGCTCCAGCTGTTCCGGGCGGCAGAGGACTCCACATATGCCAGCGAGTGGTTCCAGCTCCTCAACGATGCGGTGTTCGAGCGTTGCCGCAGCACTGGCTACTAAACTCCACCACCCAGTTGCGTTCTGTGATCGTCTTTTCCGCCGCTTTCCATTCCCTGGATTCCGCTCGATTTATTTGCTATTTGCCACAGCCCTTAGCCAAGTATTCCAATGTGCTACAATGTATATTTAAAATGTATAGACTACGTATTAACCTAAATCTTCTGCCTGTTTGTGGACGCGTAGGTGGGCATGGCGCAGAAGCGCAGGGTGAGCCAATCAACTAGCGGAGTGGGACAGATGGCAAAGAGCCAGCGGTAGAGGCGATATCTGCGGGGCTCCTCGATGTACAAGGCCAGAGGTTGGGAACTGGTCAGGGCATCTTTGAATTTGGCCAGTAGCGACTCGTTCTTCAGGCGGTTGGGTGGCTTGAAACCACTAAGAACCTTCAGGTAGCCATTAAAGGCCTCGAAGTAGGTATCGTACAGAGCATGTTGCTCCTGGCTGAAGGCCTCGCGCATCTTCTGAGCATGCTGCTGCTGCCTGGCTGCAATGTTGCTATCCAGGACAAAGGATCCCGGAATGAAGTTGACCACCTCCATGCCATACTGCTGCAGTTCCACCCGCAGGGCATCCGTCCAGAACCGAAGAGCTGCCTTGGAGGCGGCATAGGGACCCAGAGCGGGAAGAGCCTGCAGCCCACAGTGGCTGGTCACGTTGATGATCCTGCCCTGCTGCTGGCGGAGCAAGGGCAGCAGTTCCCGGGTCAGTCTCATGGTGCCCAGCAGGTTGCAGTTGATCTGGGCCTCAATCTGCTCGGGCAACTGCCACTCGAATTCGCCAAAGCACATTACTCCTGCATTGTTTATGAGGGCTGTTAGCCGATGGCTTGGATCCTTGGCCAGTATATCTCTGAGCTGCTGATGCACCCGACGAATGGAATCGGGTTCTAGGAGATCCAGTTCCAAAGTGTGCATTCTAATCAGGCCATCCTTGGAGGAGTTTAGAGCCTGCAACAGCTTGGCTCCTTCGGATTTGAGATTGTGGCAGCAGGAAACCACTGTCAAGTGCAGAGATTCGTGGCAGTAAACGGCCATGGAGTGGCTAACCAAAAAGAGATCGGCCAGTTAGTATAAGCCACTTATTCCTGGTTCATTTACCCCTCACCCCAGTCCCGAATCGCATCCCGTGATGACCACCACATGTCGGCTATCGACCTTCAGCTGGCTCCTACCCAATCCCAGTGTGCGTCCCAGGGCGCGAAGAAATTGACTACCGCTCATATCGCCTGTGCTCGAGTAACTGACACAAAGATCCGATTTACGACTGCACCGAAAATAACAGATCCAAAAAATGCAAAATAAGGCAAAACCCGAAAATGAATATATGCATTGTGTATACATATGTAACCATTATCTGTGGACGAATGGAAGAACGCTGCTGTTTACCTGCCCTTTAGAGTGGACCTGCAATTTTACGGTTTTAAGATCTTTCTAAGCATTGGGTTTAAAAAATATTATAGTACAAAATCCAATCTTAGTATTATCAAATTTCCGTTTTTTAAGTTATGAAAACAACCCGTTTTTCTGACAATTGATATTCGACCTAAATATAAGACTTCCTTCATAAAAAGTAATTGATGAGAAATATTTTTAAAGACTTAAGGCCTTTGTAAGTGGGTTGGGTATAAAATGTAATTAAAAATTATTTCCCAAAAGTTAAGATCAATATCTTTCGAAATTTTTAGAATGAAAACATATATTTTTCAACTGGTCCACCCTAATTTACCTGCTAGGTTTACCTGACGATAAGCCAGACGATTTGCAAGTCATGTGAATCGCAGTGTTATTCCTTGTTGTTTTTATACCACTAAAAATAAAACCACAATTTGGTTTTAGGTTTTTTCGGTGTTTTTATTTTATTTTATTTCATTTTTGTCAATTTTGGTGTTTTTCTGCCCTTATAAGTGCATTTAGTTTACTATCGATCGGTTTGGTTTATTGGATAAATTGATAATTTTGAATAGAGAGTTTCGGAGAACTTACTGTGGAAACTGTGGCGAGAGTTACTATTTGTTTTTACCTGATCAGCTTTCGTTAAATCGTATTTGGGTATGCATAATACATAATTACATATTAAATAATTGCTTTGCTTTTGTCATTTCTTATAAATGGTATTTGAAAATAGCGCATTTGTTGCGTTTAGTAAAAATATATTTGGGTTTTCTACTGCAGCTTACAGAGTACAATAAGTATATTTATCTCATTTCACATTTGCTTTTGCTCAATATAAAACTTGCTTCAACGCGATTATTGTTTAGGTTTAAACATACATATACATATATATTTATATAAAGTGTTTTGCATTTCTTAATTCTCTCTCAAGGCATTGTATTTAGTTTGTATGCTGCATATACATATATTTATATTATATATATTTACGCGATTCGTTTAAATGTTTAAATGTACAATTTTAAAACCGGCTTAGTTCCTTTCATTACACGCTTTTGTTTACTGCTCCTTTTGTTTTTTATCGTTTATCCGTTATCTTTTGTATTCGTTTTATAATAAATATCACAACGCATCCTTCAAATCTACACTCCCTATAATCCTTATCATTCATTTTCAGTTTCCAGGCATCGATCGTTCGCATTTGTATATTTTTTGAAAATATATAACACGCAATGAAAAGGTTTGAAAATTGCACAAAATACAAGTACATAACATATGTAGCTCGTCGTATGTAAAAGACATAGCAAAAATCATAAATTAACCATAATAATGATAAAGGTAATAATACGAAAAAACATTAGAGTTAACGAAATTACAAAAAATGAAAACATCTCATATTACACACATTACAACTAAGAAAATGTTTTCTTGGTTTCTCTTCGTCTAATTGTTTTTGCTTGTTGTGTTAGCAAGTGTAAATATAATCGCTACGCATCCTCAATTATATAAAACTTAACCTAGTCCTGACTCGAGCTATCCTATCCGCCGGCCCTGTACCACATCCTGTCCCGTGGTTATAAGCTGACCAGCTTCGAGGGCTCGGCGGTGGGCGTGGGCAGCTCCAGGGGATGCTTGTTCGTGGCGGAGCTGTTGGGCACGAGGGGTCCGGAGACGGGGGTCAGCCCGGTGCCGCCGTCCATCAGGGAGTCGAAGTTGAAGGTGCCCGTGGAGGGCGTCTGGATGGGCACTCCCTGGATCTGCGTGGGTCCACCGTGCTGCGCCTTGCTGTTGGCCAGGGTCAGGTGCATGCCCAGGGGTCGCTGAAAGGCCAGCGTGTTGGGCCGCTCCTTGGGCACCTTGTTCAGGGCATTCAGCGTGGGACTGTTCATGCTGGTGCTACCGTTTCCTCCTCCATTGGTGGTCACCGGAAAGGCACTACCAAATCCTCCGGGCGCCGTGCTCGTTATCGGCGTCTGCAGAGATCCCGACGAGGCACCGGTGGGCGTCATCAGCGTGGACATGTGCGGCATCGTGGACATGGGCGGCAACGTGAACCGCTTGCTGGGCGGCGGACCATCCTGGTCCAGACTCGATCCCGAGTCCAGGCCCCCATCCAGTGGCTCATCCTTGATGTGCAGCAGCAGGTTGTCCAAGTTCGCCGCCGGCTTGAGATCCAATGGTGAGTTGCTCCTCCCGGTGGAGTTTAGGGTGGCATCCATGCCCGTGATCGTGCCATTGCTGCTGTCGTTGCTGTTGTGATTGTGGTGGCTGCTCGATCCCGCACTGCCACTGCTGCCGGCACTCAGGAGTCCAGCCGGAGCAATCAGCCCGTTGCAGGTGGTCACACTCAGCAGATCCGAGCGGATCTTGTGGCAGGTGGGCCGATGGGCGGCCAGCAGGTATTCCAGCTGGTTCTTGCTGTTCGTCAGCGCCTCGATCTCCTTCCGCATGGCGTCGCCCCGCTTCTCCAGCTGCTCCACCTCCTCGGTGAGCTCGTTGGTCTGGTCCACCCGCCTCTTCCGGCAGCGGGCCGCCGCCTGCTTGTTCCGCTCCCGGCGCAGAGCCCGCTTCTGCTCCTCCTCCGGCGTCATGTTGGCCGAGCGGTTGGGCCGCCGGCCTCCTCCACGACGCGCCGGGGTGTTTGAGGTATTCGTTGATGAGGACTCGCCTCGGTTGGCTGGATTCACGGCGGCCAGGACATTGGTGAAGTTGTTAACGCCGCCATTCACACTACCGCCCGGCATTATGTGGCCATTCTGGTACGAGGTGCTGTCCGTATGGGCACTTGCTACAGGTTTGGAGAAGGTAATCCATTAGTAAGCTACAACAGGGGGTCTTAACTCAAGGATCCACTTACAAGTATCGGTTGTGTCCTGCTCCTCGTTCATCTGCGTATCGTTGTACGAGGCATTGGAGTCCTCGGAATCGCTTCCTGGCACCAGACTCACATCGTACGGCTGCTGCTGGCAGGGAATCGCGGCGATGCCATTGCCGTTGGACTCGTTTCCTCCGTTCGCAGCGTTGGGCAGCACCAGGGGCACGGCGAATCCCGCGCAGCCAGCTCCACGATCATTTTGCGTATCCGAAATTATCTGGAAAAAGGAATCCTCGATGCTGCGCGTCGTGGTTGGGGTCAACGTGGGCGTCGTCAGCGTTAGGACACTCTGAACGGTCTCAAAGTTGCCGAGCTGCAAGAAAAATGGGTAGGGTTTGTTAATTAAATGGTGACAATTAAAGGTATTAAATCAAATATATTTAATTTATAAATATTACGATTTTAAAGGAATTTTACAGTGGTGTTTATAATACACCCCTATCCCAAAATCTTTTATAAAAACCCTTTGAATGATTTATTACCCATACGCAGTGTTCCCTTTGTGTTAATTCCTTAGTTTAGATTTTAACAATAAATTGCCTTGTATTTCCAATATTTAAAAAATGTATGGCACCATATGTAATCTATAAAACTTTAAAAAATGTGATTTCAATCAATATTAAACAGACCTTAAAGATTAAAGAGAAAAAAATGTTTAAATTGCATTGTATTCATATATGAAATATCTTTAAGTTGTTTCCTTGAATAAGCATTAAGCTTAGTAAAAGAATAAATCTGTGAATAGATTTAGTAAGACCTCTCCCTAACATCAAAAGCAATTGTTAAGACCGTAAGACCTCTTTGCTTATCCGTACATTTCTAGGAATTAGGGAACGTGTTTTTTTGCAAATACAAAAAGAAAGAGAGCCGAAGAGAGGACCATCAATCCAATCCATCACTTTGTTTATATGGCCCACCCCTTTTGTTGTTCCGCAGTTGTTCTATTTTCGGCGATGAATAAGTACGCACATAGTTTGCCAATTGTTTCGCGCCCAAAAGAATTAACCGAATTGCGATAGGATTGGGATTTTCTGATTAAATATCATCGATATTTTTAAGGGCGCTACCTGCTGTAGGAAAAGCTCGTTGGCTAGAAAAGTGGCGATTTCACTCGCGTCCATTGCAAAATTATCGCTGTTGTTGTTGTCGTTGTTTGTGGATGTTGTTGTTGATGATGTTGCTGCTGCTGCTGTCGTGGATGTTGTTGCTGCTGTGGCATTGCATGTTGCTGCTGTCGTCGTAGCTGTTATTGCCTGTTGTTGCTGCTGCTGCAGTTGCTGCGGTTGCTGCTGCTGTTGCTGTTGCTGCTGTTGTAGCTGCTGCTGATAATAATTAATAGGCAAGCAATTGTTGTTGTACTCCTGTGGTTGCTGCTGACTAAAAAAATTCTGCATTTGGCACACGGCGGCCATGGCAGCCGCATTGTTGCTGCTGTTGCCGGCGTAGGCGCTACCAGCAACATGGCCATAATTGTTGCTGTTGCTGCTGCGCAGTGGGAAGGCATTGTGGGCAAACGATTGCTCCTGATGTTGTTGCTGCTGCTGGTAGGCCGTCTGCGTGGGCAGTTGCCGTTGCTGCTGACGTAACAATTGCTGCTGGGGCTGCTGCTGCTGCTGCAGCTGTTGATGTTGCTGTTGCAGCTGCAGATGTTGCTGCTGCTGATGCTGCTGCTGCTGTTGCAGATGTTGCTGCTGTGCAAAGTGCAGCGATTGGTGGTAGTAGGGATGGTAGCACGCATTGTGCGCCCTACCATTGAGATTTTTCATCATTTGTTCGTTTATCCTTATTGAACTACTCTTAAGTATTAAGTATACGCAATGTTGCAACGTTGCGTATACGCACAGTTGGGCGGCTGACTAGTATTCGTTAGGGGTTCTTTAGTCTAGCTAAGCTAACACAACAAAGTGGGACAACAATGATATATATCTATATATATGTATGAGTTTTGTATTCAAAATCAACAAAAACAATTCTAAATTCTAGTATATATGTACAAAAAAGAGACTTTTGCTCTGTGAAAAGTTCTTTAACAATGTGATGATCCTTTGTTGTCTTTATATTTCCGGTTTCTTGGATATTTGGATGTTTTTCTTGTTGTCGCAGTGTTGTTATAGTTGCTTGAAAATTCGTTCGTTTTTGGCTTTATATATTTATATATTGTAGCTTATGTGTTTCGTTGACTTCTTATTTGAAATAAAAAAGGTTCGTTGCGAGCAGATTTCGTAAGTATATTCGTTGTTCGGCTGCTCGGTTCAGTTCTTGAAGTTTTTGCTCTCCGGCGGTCTCAGGCGCTTAACGATAAGCATTTGCTGAATTCGCAAAGGATTGAAATGTACATTCCGGTCGGCGAAAGCGCTCATAATCAACGCAATGTATCGTAAGTGTGCGAGGCTCAGGAAATCTCAAATCTCAAATCTAATGACACGTGTCTCCAGTTCAAATCAGTTCACTGCTCGGCAAAGGCCGCGATAAATAACACAAATTGGATTATATAATTACACAGATTTGTGGCAGGGAAAGAGAGGGGGTCTTGAGCCTTGAGCTAGTTTCCGAAAATGCTGCATTAATTTTCATGCGTATTTCTGAGAAAAATTCCTTGGCCAACGGGCAACGCCTCTCAAAGTTATTCCTCCCTTTTTCGCTTTGCGCTTTTCGCTTTTATTTCTAAGTTTAGCTATATAGATGATTATATAGGTATATGTATTTTATTTTATATTAGGATATATATATATATATTTGGATCCACGCGGCATGCAACTGAGAAATGTGCGTCGTTTTTATATATTTCTCCTTTCTCGATTCGTTGTTTTCTGCATTTGTGTGCTTCTGATTCGTTTTTGGCAATGCACGCGCGCTAAAAACAAAACGACAATTGCAATTTTCCAAATTTATTTTCGTTTCGTTGTTCGAGATTCGAGATATTCGAGAGATTCGAAATAAAAAGCGCGCGCGCGATCGCTTTTAATTGTTAGATATTTTCTAAACTTCGATGGTTCGTTGTTCGTTTGCGACTGAATCTGAATCGGAATCTGAATCTCCGGCGAGCGAAATTGGCAACGATCGAGAAATATATACGTACGTATCTAGAGATCCACAGATCTAGAGAACTAGAGAACTAGAGAACTAAGAGAGCTGTCTTTTGGGTGTGTGCCTGGCTGTTTTGCGAGCTGTTTGCTCAAATTAGAAGACAACCGCTGGGAAAATCAAAAATTTTAAACGCTGCCTGCTCTTAATTGAGCGGCTGCCCACACGACGACCACGCTCGCCACACTTTTATAGGAAAAAAAGTATATATACCATACCATAATATAATATATGTCATGGTATTATATGCAGCTGCTCGCGTGTGGGTTAGTTCCGATTTGCCGATTTTACAGCAGCGGCTCTTTCTCTCCATCGAAACGCCTTTCGTTCGCCCATAAATTAAAGGCCACATCCACAACACACTCAATATTTTCGGCGAAATCATTTGGCAAAAGTTATGGTTCCGAATAGGCACACACTCGATATGATATATATAGCTATACTGACAGATGTCCAACGAACAGGTGTGTGTGCGTGCGGGACATCAACATTAACTAACTCTTCATCTTCCGTTCGGTTCAGACCCCCTGTCTCGCCAGAGTGTTTATTTCCGTCGCCAGCAAGTTGGCCAATACGCTAATTGCTGGCTTTTGTTGTGGGCTAAAAACATTACATATACTAGGTGCACGGAGAAAAAAGTGGGGGATTTTTTTATAATAAAAAAAATGTAAAAGAAAGAACTAGAAGGAAAAGGAAGACATCTGCTGATAATATTAAATATTGTTGGGTAAATAATATAGCCGTATGGCTCGTGCTAATTTTAACTAACTGTTTGGATTTATTAAAATAATGTCATGGTAACCTTTATGAATAATCTTTTTTACTAGACTAAACATGATTTAAAAAAAAATGGGTAATGTAAATTTATATAGTGTCATATAGACGTAACCTGTAATAAATTAATTTATCAGTACTATAATAAATTCTGTTATTTACATATATTGGTCTATAAAAAATTGTATAAGTCCTAAAAAATGTATTTCTTGTTTTTTTATATTTTTTTTCTGTGTAGGGAGTTTCTGCTGATTGTGTGCTTATTTATTTGGCGATCTTATCGCAGCCGCGTTTTCCAATCCCAAAGGCCGTTCCCTTATTGACAGCAAACAATCGATTTTATTCTTTGTAGGCGCTCATTTTATATATTTACTTGTTGGAATTTTTACTTTCAAGTCTTCCGATTTCCGAGTTTTTAGCCACCTTTGTGCCTTTTTTCGGGGACTTTCATTTTAACCCACTTTCCATACAGTATAAATAGGCTTTTTGAACTTGTTCCCCGGCCGATGAATCAGTCAATTTAAGTTAAGTTCGCTCTATATGCAAAACAAGTGATCATAAAAATGACAATAATACGAATGCGAACTACTGGCAGTCGAGAGCCGCGAATTGAATTGTCTAAATTGAAGAGACCAGTGATGAGAGTCAGTGATGGTCATGGTGATCTGCCTTATCGGACGAGTGGAGGTCTGGGCACCGAGTTCACTTCTGGGGTCAATTATAAACCAACTGAAACCAGCAGCGGACATCGAACAGCCAGTGAAATGGCACTGACGTAGTCAGCGAAAAAAGAGCAAATTGCTGACTAACACTCGAGACTGCTGCAAATTTGATTACTACAGTGACCCCTGCAATCGTTGAAAAATTCCCAGTGATTTTAGAACTCAGCCACTCGTGGTTTTATAATCTTTTTTAAGCAGCCAAAAAAGAATTTAGAAGGAGACTTAGGTTATATATTTTAGAAATTCCCATGAAACATAGAGATTATATTTATATTTTTTCTAAAACATGTGGGAATTCCAAGATAGCTGTACCAAAAATTGCAATATTTGTGTTTAAATATTTATCCCTATAAAGAAAGCGGTTTCAACACGTTTATTTCCTGCGAAATGAAAAGAAATTCCTTATAAACCCCAGCAAACACTTTGACCTTGATTCTAATTAGTTCAAATTCGCATTAGCCGAAAAACGATTTTCGAAGGGAAGTGAAGGTGCAACAAGTTGAGTGCTTTAGAAATTCTCTCTGGGGCCCCAAGACTTTGCCTTCTGCTTTTAGCTGACGTGTTGGGCTATTTTTAAAGCCAATTTTAGCCTGACAATGACGTAATGACATGGCAGAAATACAAAAACAAAACTTGGCATCATCAAAGGCAAAACAAAACGAAAACAGGCGATGACAATTTGCTTTGTTTATATCAAAAGTGGCTAATAATCACTAACAGCACGAGCTAACATAGGCCTCGGTTTTAGCCAAATGTTAAGTTGGCTAGCTCTGAATTCAAACTCAAATTTCGCCTTTGTTTAAACGCTTTAGTTGCTTTTGCTGGTTGCGAATAAATTAGTTGGCAAGCTTGTTAAATACAAAATGTATACGAAAATTGCATGCTGAAGGTCGTCGCTGGTTGTTTAGTTAGAAATGCGCATAATTATCTGAAAAAAATAATACAATTTGGATTTTTCAATTGGCAAAGACTTGAATAAACTGCAGCTCCAGCATTGTTTGCAATGTCACAGCGAAAAAATAAGAAATATAATAGCGAGAATTGAAAAGTTGACAAGTTCAAGTGCGCCGTCTTCAGCTTGAAGTGCACAGGGAGAAATGTTGGACAAATAAAAAGGGCACATTAATATTGTCCACCAGAAACTTTAATTCAAAAGCCATTTCTTTAAATTAAGGTGTTGCATGTAGCTAATATTTTAGTATTTAACTGATCTTAAATGACTCGTATTTTGAAAATACATATATTGGATGGTTATAGGTATATGTTGGACAGTTATTAATGATTATACACCTTTTTAGTAAATCCATTTCTCTTATTTATTTATCATTTCTGGCATTCTTCTGGCATTAAATATCTTTAAATAATATTTGTTTTCTGTGCACCTACAACTTTGTAATTGCACTTCCCTTGGCGATAAGCATACAACCATTCTCGTATCGGGAATTTTTGCAAGTCTGTTGTATGAATTGCATATAAATGCAAATTCTGCGAATAAAACAATTAACGCAAAGGAGGGACAGAAATCATAATTTCAGCTTGTGTTCTCCGCCGTATTTTATTTTATTTTATTAATGCTGTTTTATTATTTTTTGCGCTTTTTGAGCTGGCAAAAGGAGAACGTGACCGCAATGCCCAAGCGAAATGGCCGATCGGCGTGTAGTGTTGACTGTGCTAAGTGCCGGCTGTCGTATGTCTTGTTGGTTGATAAAGCCCAATTTCCCCGCCCCCTGGCCGGCTTTTCCCCTGGTCTAAAGAATTTTTTGGAGTGGCCCAGAGTCAACGGCCGGCTGAAAAAGTCGACAAAAGTCGCATCCACACGGCTTGCCGGCCTTTTTTAGGCACGCAAAACAAAAACAGAGAGGGGCCCCCTTATATAACCAACATTTATGCAAAGTATACTAAGTGTATATATGTACTTTTGTACAGAAAGCAGCGCCGTCATTGAAATCACTTGACGTTTGTCCATTTTTGGAACGAAAGCGCAACGCCCACGCAAACGAAAATTGAATTAAAGTTTACACATTTTTCGCTGGCTGGCAACAAGGCAATAATTCAAAATTTGCCAAAAAAAACAGGAGAAAAAAGGGGAAAAAATACAGCCGACAAATAAATTTGCAGCCGCTTTCAGGACTCCGATTCCGATTCCCCTGGCTTTAAGTTCAGTGTCAAATTAATCAGACTTTTGTTCCGAGGGCGTGGACAAGGGAAAAAACAAATTTGCATGAGATATTAAACAGAAAAAACAACAACAGAAAGAGTGAAAATATTTATGTTCTGCCTTTTAAGCAGGGCATTGAACCCTGTTTTTATATGCACAATATTTTATTTACCTGGGCTGGGTGGCCAATTTAATCGATAGCACATTTCCCAATGCACACGGGTCATTAAGATGGCTTAATTAAGCCGATTTGGCCAACTAAAGTGGTCACTCGATGCGGGGGAAAACGTGCGGCTAATAAAATGACGCGACATTCTGGGGTTCGGGGAATAATTTATTTAAATGCATTTTGTCGCGACAACGAAAAAGACACCGGGGGAACCCCCCGTCAAAATGGGGGAGCGAATTTATGGCAAAGTTTGCAGTTCGAGGAAATGGCAAACAAACGACGCGTCTTTCAGGCGCCAGAAAGGACAGCAAAAAAGGACAACAAAAAGGACGAAGTGCAACCTAGACACAAAGGGAAAGAGACAGTGGTAAAAGTTGTTTTCACTTTCCATTCTGGCCAATTCCAAGAAGGACGTGACCGCAGCCATCAAAAGCCAGGACATTTGCCAACACGAAATTACCAATGGCAGCAAAAGGAATAAAAATCCGAAAAACAAGACAAGGAAAGTCCTTTGGAAAGGACCTCAATCGCCTTTCTCCCCTGTCAAATTATCTGCCCAAACTTGGCTGGCAGCTCAAAAGAAAAAATAAATACGAAAAAAGAACGATAAAGTAGTGCCAAATTGCATTTAATTCCATTAAGAAGAAACTCAATTAAATTGACTGGAAATGCAATTAAGTGCGCTCACATTTCGTAGACACATTTAATATTAAATTTGATCTTAATTGAGTGCAGACTTTGTTGCATGCTCCATAAACATGGCATGATCAGTTAACCAAAAAATAAAGATACATGTATATTTAGGCCAGTTCTAGAGGGTGTGGGCAGCTCTAGACAAAGGAAAGTTATTGTCTCCCCCGAAAAACAAGGCCTTCAAGTGATTTCTTTCATGTCAAACTCACAACTGAAACTCAAATAACCAATCGAAGACGCCCACAGATAAAAAACAATTGCGAAAGTCCACAAAACATTACTTCAAGAGCAGACCAACACCATATTCAGTTATTCAGTTAATTAAAAGAAAGTTGGACTTTGGCTGGTGCTTTGGGATTACGAGTATTTTGTGGGGGCGCTGATGGTTACATGTTGTGTTTAATGGAACCGTTTGAGAGC